CCACCGCAGCCTCGCCTGCTGGGCTCTGGCGATTCTTCCGCCTCAGCCTTCTGAGTAGCTGGAATTATAGGCATTCGCTACCACGCCTGGCTGATTTTTAGATTTATTGTGGAGATGAGGTCTCGCTGCCCAGGCGGGTCTCGGACCCGCGGACTCAGGCAATCCACTCACCTCAGCCTCCCAAAGGCGTGGGATTACAGGCTGAGCCACCGAGCCCGGCTTAAAATACTTTTCAATGAATGAAACAGCATTCCATCATATTACTTGGCATCAACAACAATCAGCATCTATTTTTTAAAAAAAGGAGTGCTTTAAATATTGTGTAATTTTGTAGAATAATAGGTGTAATATTGACAGAATGATTCTGAATATCTTTGCTACAGGGAAATTTAGTTTAAAAAGACTAGGCACCAACAAAGTCTTCCTTGGATAGCTTTAGTTTTTAAGAGATAGATACTCCAGAGCAGTCTCAGAAAGTCTTATAAATTATTCAAACTCTAAAGAAACAAAATCACTGTAAATTGAAATTTTAATGTGCATTGTATCATAGCATATTAGTTTTAGATTAAATGACACACTATAGTTGAAACTTATGTGCATTTTTGCATTTTATAGTACATTAGGGCTCTTATACAATCAAAATATACTGTTTATATTTGAAATGATAGCAGTTTATCACTTTTGTGATTTTGCCTTTGTGACTTGAAATTATCATATGTATAATTTATTGGACGTCAGATCAGTGGTTAAGAATGTAGTTCCTAAAGTACAACGTGGTTTTGTTTGAGTACTAGCATCTTTCCTTATTACCTCTGATTCTGACCATGAGCAAGTCATTTAACTGCTTTGGGCAGCAGATTCTTCATCTCAGAAGTGGGAAACAAAATACATATTGAACCAGTGTTCTTATAAGGATTAAAGAGGTGACGTATGATATATGTGAAAACCAGTTGTAAACTGCAAAGTACTTTGTAGATAAAAGATATTTGTTATGTCTGAAATCTTAAGAAAATTAGTCTTCAGGACCTTATTATAGTAATAAATATTTTTTTGCTAATAATAAATTTTTCTTTTACTAATTTTATATGCCCCTAATATTTAAATTGATTAGCTTGGTTTAGGCCTTTGTTTAGTACTGAATTATAACAAACTCTTACATGTTCTACACATGTTCTTGAAAACATGTGATATGCTGGTAACTACTCAACAACTGGCCCTCTAGGGCAAAAAAAAAGTCCCAGTTTGTAGCATTTGCTATTTTCTCTAATGTAGATACTCTAGCCACAGCCAAATTCCAAGCCACTAGTGTGTTGTCACTCAATGTAGAGTTGAGAAGAGATGTGGACAGATAGCTCCTGGGAGACCGGAGGCTCTGGCTGTAGCACACATACAGTCAGTTTTTAGCTGTGTAGGCACATGGAAGTCATAATGAATCACAGAGACATATAGATTATTTTAGATTTTAAGAAACATTTAAGAATACCATCGTAAATGTTTCTGAAAGCCAGGAATCTGAAGTCAGACCTGGACTCTAATTCTGACCTTGGACAACTCAGTGTCTTTAAACCTCCATTTCTTTATCAGTAAAACAGGCGCAATACCAGTGTCTGTTTCAGAGGGGAGAGGCTAAAAATAAACGAAGTGATTCCTGTCTAGTACCTGATTAAACCACTGAGTAAAAGAGAGGAGAAGGATTGCTCCATCAGGTCGGTGGTTACTGCTGCCTGCCTAACAGGGTTCTAATAGCATGTAAAACTGAATTCTGTATTAATTTATTTTCTTTTTAGCCGACATGGGTTTTGCCAGATTATTCAATTCGCCTCTAAAGCCTCTGGCAGATTTGGATCCAGTCGTTGTGACATTTTGGTATCGTGCTCCAGAACTTTTGCTTGGTGCGAGGCATTACACAAAGGCCATTGGTAAGTTACGGTCTAAAGCAATTTCCTCCCTTGGCACCGAACTGTCACAAACCCCAAATGGTACAATAAGAAAACCACTTGATGTAGTTTTGTAAAGGTCCTATTGTCTTCTGTATTCCTAGATTTTGAATTCTGGTAGATATGGATTTTAGCAATATAGGAAAACATGGTTATTTTAAAACAAGAAGGCATTTTCTTTCAGAGAATTGAGGTTGCTATGGAGACAACAGCATGCAGATTTATTTTGTACTTACTTAGATATTGATCAGAATAATAGAGAGAGGTTTAGAATTGTTTTCTTCACAAAAAGAAACACAGGAGTAGTACGGTGTTGGACAGAACCCCTTCTCTTTGGGGAAAAGTTAGCCAGTCCTGCCCTTTCCTGTGCAAGAGACAGTGTGACTCATTGTCCTCTCTTGTTACAGTTGAGAATGGCACTTTCTCCAGGAGGGCAAGAAATTCAGAGTCTGGGTTGCTTTGCTGTTCAGCATCTTGCCATCTCACCGAGTGAAAAGACTGAGGGAGGAAACCTGTTATAAGCATGTTGTCTTGTAGGACTTGAGTCTGCTGCAGAGCAGATGCTGGGGAGACACTGCTGCCTGGTGGCTGTAGTATCCTCGGGGCCCTGCTGTAAATGGAAGGAGTTGCAGGAGAGAGCCCACCCCAAACCCAGAAGGTTTCCAAAAGGAATAAGAAGAGCTAGAGGCAAGTTAGTGACAGCAGTTGGAAGGGCTGGTTCCACAAGCTGTGTAAATGTCCTGAGTGGATTTTTTTCAGTTTTCTGTTTACTAGTATTAGGCTAAGAGCACTTTTGGCTGCCTTTAGCTGCTGTTGTTGCATTTTCTCTAATGAAGACTCTACAAGCATAATATTATTAAAAATAGAGAAGCATGGTCCTTTCTCTGTTAAGCAAGCTTAGAAGAATCTGGTGGCACCCAAAGAACTACATAGGAGGGTTTCGCATTTGGAAAGATCAGACTGATGATTTGCCTATTTGTGGGTTAAAAATACGCAAACCAAAATTCAAATATAGGAAGGTCCTCATGCATCAGGAGGTCTGATTTCTAAGAAACTCAGACCCCAGAACACATTTCCACTTTGCCCAGGGACTGAGGCTCTAGCACAGTCCTAGACTGTTGTCAATATTTCATAAATCCTCCTGAATGGTTTTGTTACGTTAGTAGAAAAGCCTGTGAAGAGTCTCAGAACTATGAGGAAAACCAGTGTGTGTTTGACAGTGAAGGAATGTGAGACTGACGTTAGACTCTCACCCAAGCAGGTGAGCCTTAGCAAGGCAGTACACAAGTGGCTGCCTGGGCCTGGTGGCAGCAGTGGACAGTGACAGCTGCTTGGGAAGGGTGAGGCAGCAGATGGAAGGGGTGACACAGCCTTGAGAATGAGAAGCTAAGTCAGAGCCAGACCCTACTGATATTCCAACAAATGACTTTTACAATGGGGCTGTGTTTTTGAGAATTTTAGAATTAGAAGTTTGTTTTTTCTGTTATGTAGGTCTCTCCTTACTCACTATTGAGAACAGTCCAATCCCACAGACATCTCAGAAGGTACCAGGGGGAAGGAACAGTCTCAGAGTAAGCCAGGGAAAGGAGTCCTGTGAGTTCAAAGTAACAGCTGATGCCTTAGAACAGGTCTGACGATGGATGATAACCCAGGGCGTGAGGAGGGGGTGGAGGATGCAATGTCAGCAGAAACTCTAGTGCCCTGGGCTCTCACCAAACAATAGTGCAGTCCATGTCTAGAAGGGAGGTTGCTGGTCATGAAAAGAATCATCAGAGCCTTCAGCTAAATGGAATGGCTCCCACCAGTGTTGGTCCCACTTTCAGAGACTCTAGTACCACAGGGTCATGGTAAGGCCTGTTTCTAATGTGTGCCCCTGGGTGATTGTGTGTGATCCACGCACTTCGAGAAGCACAGTTTGATCGATATTTTCTGATTAATTTCTCTACTGTTGAAATGAAAATAGATGTGGATTTTTGGAAATAAAAGTAATTGGCTATGAATTGAAAACCAATTATATTCCTTATTTCCTCAGGGTAAGGAGAACCGAAATTGAATTTTAACCAGCTTACAACTTGCTCAGTAAATGAAATTTACCACTTAAGGATAAAAACATGTTCTCTAACTTCTAATTTTAGTCAAGTTCCAATTATTCATTCTGGGTAGAAGTTAGGAGAAGAGTTAAAGGCAGAAAAAAAAAGAATAAACCCCAAATCAATTATCATTGGGCTTGAAATATATTCATCATAGACATATATAAGTACATACATATTCACTCTTTCTCACCCTTCTCCACACCTGGTCCATGTTAGAAAAGAGTATTTCTATTCAGAACATTAAAAGAGAGTTTGATTATTTGAGGTCACTGGAGGTTTATGGCATGACATCAGTGGGAGAGGGGTGGCAGTGATGGTGGCAGCAGTGGTGAGGGGGGTGTGTGTTTGTGTGTGTGTGGGTGTGTGTGTGTGTGTGTGTGTGTGTGTGTGTGTGTGTGTGTGTGTGTGTGTGTGTATCAGGATAACGAGTCATTAATAAGGGAAAGAGATCTGAATCTCTGTAGATGGTGCAGGAGCCAGGTGACTATTTAAAGTTTTAGGCTAATAGAAGGTAGGAAACCCTGGAATGTAAAGCTACCGGCTACTCTGAGGTTTCTTATCTTAGCACTTTGCTGGGAAATCTAGATCCTGGCTGCTGCCCTTCAAGTAGAGGACAAACCAGGAATGGGCATGAGCAGCAGCATGGCAGCCAGGAGGAAGAGAGATGGAAGATGGGGTCGTTGGAGGCAGCCATGTTAGGGAAAGAGAATGACAGCAAAAGCAAGGTGGGAGGGAGAAGAGAATTAAGAGGTAGACACTGAACAGTATTGTTACTCCACTCTGTAGTGATGGATGTTCATGACGATGGTGACTTTGCTGCACCATTAAGGAAAATAAAATTATGGTTTATGGCCTCTTATGATGGCAGGTAATAGTGTAATAAAAAATGTCTGTTGAAGGGGTATGTTCCCATTATCTAGAAGGCTAACGTGTGGAAGGAAACCGTTCTTGAATGGGGTCAAATAAGTGAGGAATTATCCTAAGGTTTTTTCCATTTGGCAGTTTGTTTTACAAAATAGTAGATTGACAGCTATTCTAGCCAGTGGCTGTGCAGTAGGCCCTGTATCCACTGGGAGGATGTCCCAAGACCCCCCGTAGAAGCCTAAAATTGAGAGGGCACCAAACTCTCTGTATGTATATCGTATATATACTATGTTGTTTTAAGCTGATGTCCCAGGGGTTACTAGGTAACTAACAGATAGGTAGTGAGTATGCAATGTGGATACGCTAAACAAAGGGCAGTGCGGATAGTTGGAATGGAATGGTCTAAAATGTATAGATTGTTTATTTTTGGTATTTTCCATTTAATATTTTTAGACTGTGGAGGTTGATTGTAGATAACTGAAACTACAGAGAGTGAAACCTTGGATAAGAGGGACTACTGTAATTAAACTTAATTTTTATTTAGCTTATCTACAGAATACAATTTCCATGTTATATTATGTTGCATTATGTTAGTCAGAGTCTCACTGTGTCTCCCAGGCTGGAGTGTAGTAGTATGGTCATGACTACTGCAGCCTTTACCTACTGGACTCAGGCAATCCTCCTGCCTCAGCCTCCCGAGTAACTGGAACTACAGGTGCATACCACCATGCCTGGCTAAGTTTTTAATTTATTGTAGAGACGAGGCCTTGCCAAGTTACACAGGCTGGTCTCAAACCCCTGGGTTTAGGCAATCCTCTCGCTTCCACCTCCCAAAGTGTTGGGATTACAGGCTTGAGCCACAGGTCCCAACCTGATTTCCATATTTAATAGACTACTAAATACTACTTTTCTTTACTATCCTATAGTAAAGATATTGCATTATCTTTTTTAAAAAAATAGTAAGTGACATTTATTTAAGTGGGCAAGAGTGAATATGCATCTCACAAAAACTAATTTCACCAGTACATTTGGCAAAGCACTGTGAATATATTATAGAATATGAATTATAATCTTTCAATGTGTAAAAGACAATAGATACTCTATAACTTGTGGCTTTAAACAGTTAAAACTTTTAAAGATGCCTCACTTGGGGGTTGGGAGTCGGGGTGGGGTGGCATCTACATGGATATGTTTAGATAAGATCCATGTCTACTGGTGTCATGTAGTGCCCACATATAGATATATGTGTAGACACACACACACACACACACACACACACACACACACACACACTCTCTTATTATTTATGAGCGTCTAGACCTTACAATTTGTTGAGAAAACTGAAACTGGTAGTCTTTCAAAGTTTTTTTCCAAATCCTCTTATGTGATCTATACTGTCTATCTAGACTCAAAACTTACAAGTTCTGCTCTTTCATTGTGCATCTGATTGCTTTACAGGAATTACATCACCATGTCTGATGATACTGTTTCAGTCTTATCAGTCTGAGTATTATGCCAGTATTAGATTATCAATTGAATGCTTCAGTGATTAAATTATTCATAGTGCGTAGAAAGACTTGCCTAAATCTAAAGAATTTATTGCTTGCTGAGTTGAGTTCCCAAGTTTATCTTCACCAGGAAATTGATAAGTAAATGTGTTTTATTTGACTTTCAATCTGTTGCATGATGATACAGCTATTTCATGTCATATTTATGTTTTCTTAATGCATTTATTGTACTTTGTATATTGACTTACTGAAAAGTATTTTGGTATGTAGGTTGGGAATTATAACCAAGGAAATATAATAAGTGTGTACAAAGACTTGTTTTTCTCCCTTCATAGATATATGGGCAATAGGTTGCATATTTGCTGAATTGTTGACTTCAGAGCCTATTTTTCACTGTCGTCAGGAAGATATAAAAACAAGCAATCCCTTTCATCATGATCAGCTAGATCGGATATTCAGTGTCATGGGGTTTCCTGCAGGTAATTTATTTTCCCTTTTAAAGTCATATTTTGTGTCTATTTTAAATTAATGTGATTAGGACATTTTAGATAAAATTAGCACATTTTCTATAACAATATTTAATTTTTTTGTAAGATAAAGACTGGGAAGATATTAGAAAGATGCCAGAATATCCTACACTTCAAAAAGACTTTAGAAGAACAACGTAAGTAATTCCATATTGTCTTAGTCTGTTTATGCTGCTATAAAAATACCTTAGACTAGGTAATTTATAAACAACAGGAATTAGTTTCCTCCCAGTTCTGGAGGCTGGGAAGTCCCAAGTCACGACACTGACAGGTATGATTTCTTTCACAAAAAGGATGGCGCCATGTTGCTGTGTCCTAATGTGATGGAAGGTGAAAAAGCAAACAGGGTGACTGCTGTGTGATATCTCTGTATCAGGCATTAGTGACTTCTGGAAGGCCCCTACTTCTGATACTATTGCCCTGGAAATCAAGTTTCAGTGTGAATTTTGGAGGGGACACAGACATTCAAACCATAGCGCAACTTAATTATAGATAGTAATAGCTTCAATGAGAACATTTAAATTAACCTTTTAAAAAAACAGATGCAGATTATTATTTAAACCAGAAATTTAGATATTAGTGTACTAATTATGCTATAATTTAAAGAAGATATTCCAGATACTGTAAACATGTATGCCAGGTTTAGTCTGCCATATTAAAAACTTTTAAGAATATAAGGGTCAATAGGTAGTTTACATGGCTATGCTATCTTAGCACGATAAAGGTCTCAGTTCAAGGCCACAGCTGTGGTTTTACCTGTATTTGAGTAATGATGTGGCGACTAAGTGCTGACCTTGGAAACCAGGAAGGATGACAAAAGGAGGTTTGGCCTGAGGTCAGAGTCAAGCACAATGGAGGAGGCAGAAGTAGGAGGAGACTAAACTGTGATGGCATGTGGGGAGTTTGTTATGAATATGTACACTTAGAGAAAATGGCAGAAGAGGTTCTTTTTGAGCAGCTTTCCAGGAAAATTCAGGACAGCATGGCTCGGAGGAGCAAAAGCAGATACCGGGAAGGGAAGTAGAGAACAGCTCTGAGCGTTTCTGGCCTTTCCTTCATGCCATCCTTGGTAGGGTCCTCTGCCATATGCTTAAAGATGGCACTGTTATCAGGGTTCTGTCCTGGGCTCTTTTCGCACCTGGGCATCTTCCCACACAGTCTAGGGTGTTGATGGCCACAATTTACCCTCCATTATGCTGCTAACACCCAATTTGCATATCCTATTCGGATCCCTTTTCTGAGATTCAGGCCTGTTTATCTAACTTAGGTTTATCTAACTTAGGCTTGTGGAATTCCAACCTGAATGTTTCATAAATACTTTTAATTAAGTCCCCAAAGCCAAACTCATCGTCTGTCCTCCCACTTCTCCCACGGTAGTTCCTATCTTAGAAAATGGCTCCATGGTTCACCTCATTGTTTAGACCAAAGACCTAGGAGTGATTCCTGATCCCTCTGGCATTCACTGTCCCTTCTCACCCCCAGCATCCAAGCCATTTAGCACATCTAGCTCGTTCTTTCTCCTGAAGGCCCTTTGAGTCTCTCCACTTCTCTTTATCTGCTTTGCCACTGTTAAATCCAGGCCACCACCATCTTCTCCTCTAGATTCCTGGTGTGACCTCTTTAGTGGTGTTTCTACCCCCTTGCTTCATTCCAACTCATGGTCTATACTGCAGTCACCGTCAAAAACAAGTCTGAATCATGTCACTATCCTAGTTGTTCTTAATCAACCATGCCCTCAGTGACTACAAAGCTTAGCTTCCTCGTCACCAGGTTCATTCTCCTAACCACTGCCCTAAACATTTGTCCTACACTTTGTCTTAAACATGGTGGATTTCTTTAAATACTTCAGACTCCCAGAGCTTCCTATGACCTCTGGATTTGTGCACAAGCGGTCCTCTAAAACAGGATGTGCTTTCCTCCCACCTCATCCCTCAGGTCAGCTCTCCTTATTCTTTCCACTTGTCCTTGAGGTCCTGGCTCCCAGGCCTTGTAGATCGGAGTTAGGTGCCCCCTTGCACTGTCACCTTCTATGCTGCAGCTCCCAGCTCTGGTCACCATGTTTGACAGCTTTTGAATACTGTCTGCCTTTCCCTCTAGACCATGTAGATTATCTCCATTCTGTACACCGTTATATGTGCCCCAAGGCCTGGCACATAGTACATGCTGATTAATTACTTGTCAAATGGGTGTTGAATGAAAGTAGTTCAAGTAATTGAGGATATTCTACTAATTTTTAAAATGGAGAAAATTAATGAAGGCACTTAACATTTAACTGAGTACTTAAAGACTAAATGAAGCTGGGCTCAGTGGCTCAGCCTGTAATCCCAGCACTTTGGGAGGCCAAGGTGAGAGGATTGCCT